TTGATCAATGTAACTTTCACTTTTTGTAGAGGAAGGGGTCTTTGTAAGTTGACTAGCTAGTGGATCATCATTCAAAGTACCACCATTCTTAAGAAGCAAGAAACCTTGCTTATTTTGTTCCTTGGCCTTCTCAATGGCTTTAGCACTACGTCTTCTCAAACCTCTACTAGATCTTGTTGAATTATCACTTTCACCACCATCAGTACTATTACGTCTTTCATGAATTTCGTAATCATTTGCGTCTTCTTCATGAATATAATGATCATCGTAATGAGAAAACATGGACTTAGCCTCTTCCAAATTTGCAGGTTTTACAGAATCAGGATATTCATGATAAGATGAAGATTCAGGATTTACAGAAACATCATTAGCAATTTGGAAATGACCTTCTGCTCTAGCTTTTTGTTTTTTTGAACGTCTTTTTCTAAATTTCTTTTCGGTATTGTGAGCTTCATCATCAGAAGAGTTGAATTGAGAGACATCAGGGAACTTTATATGTAAACCTTTTTCACGACCAGGATTCGAACCGGCAAAAGAAGATTTATGAGGATGCATAAAAGCTTGTGATTGAGTTTGAGCTTGAAGATCAGCAACTTGACTTTTATAATCAAGGATTTTTTGTTCATAAGCTTGAATAATGTGATGAGTTTTCATTTTATGAGCACGATCAGCATCCGAAAGATCTTGGTCATTAAAACCAATTTCCATTAATAAAGTGTTCTTTTCGGTGTTTGACATTACAAGTTCACGTTCAGTAGTTTGAAGTCTCATTTTTGTAAGACCTAATTCACCACGAAGATAAGTTATTTCATCTTCATATTTACGAGCATTATTTTCATCTATACCACCAGAACGTAATGTTTGAATTTCCATCTTTAATTGAGCAATTTGACTTCGTAATTGATTAATCTCTACGGAATTTCCACCATAAGTCTCGTTAACAGTGACTTTATTTTTGATATTACGAGCACGATTAGCATATTTTAATGTATTAAGCGTTTCCATAAAGTTCGAGTCAGCAGGAGAAACGCATGCAAGCATTAATGTTTGACTGTAAAATATTAATATTAAGAAAATAATAAGTAAATATTAAGTAAATATTAAGTAAATATTTAAGATAAACAAAAAATAAAAAATTAAACAAAATAAATTAAAAAAAAAAATAGAGACAAATATAATTACCTGTTACCACCAAGAGAATCCTGTAATAATCTTGTCAATTTTGAATCTCTCTATGGAACATGAGTAGCCTTCCGTGATTCATCACCAAGAGCACTGATAACATTTCCTAGAGCCAAAAGACCTCCATTGATTGCTATACCTTCTTTTGCGCGATCACCCACAGCATTAGTTCTTTTTAGCTATATGAGATTATATTAATTAGATTCACATGAGAAAAGGACAAAAAACACGTGACATTTGAATAATTATTTAATAATTGAATACATACTCTTTCAGAACCGGCCAAATCTACAAAGTGAAACTTTGACGTTATTTTAGAAGTTAAAGTTTTAGGTTTTTTCTTTTTTGAAGTCGTTTCAGCGGCTATAGCGCAATTTTCTTTATCATCATCAATATTTTCAACTCTTGTTTGTTTTAGGATAACGGAAAAAATGGCGTGCGACCGTGAAGATACCATGTTCATATCAGTGGATGCAACTGTTCGATATGAAGAACCTTGTTGTAGTTGCCTAAAAAAGAGTACGAAAGAGTACGAAAAAGTACGAGATGTTATTATAAAATATATATATATATAAGTATATATATATGTATCGATAATTATGAAAATTATGAAAATTATTTAAACACATACTCTAAGAGTTCTTTTGGAGAGTTTACAGGAATTTCTTTAACACCGGCCCAATAGATTTGACCATTTGAATCTTCTCTTATCATTAAATCATTTTTTCCTTTTTTAACATTTTCGCGATTTTGTGGATTTAATAAATCCACTAGATCTTCATTATATAATTCTAGAAAAGTTACAAAAACCTCGAATTGATAGGAAGGATTTTTTGATTTTCGATTATTAAGGTCATCGAATAGACGATGTATTGAACGTGGGACCATACCCGCGGATTCACCTGAAGATCAAAAATAGTGACGTAAGCAAATAGAATAAGTAAATGATAACGCGTATAATTATAGATTTAGTATGATCAAAGTGATTACCTATGTGTTCAGGTGATGCATTTGAGCCATCAAGGGCTGTACCCATACTATATGTTTTACCACTACCAGTTTGACTATCAAGTGTAACATGAAATTAATTAGTTATATGAGATATACATTAAATTAGATATTAATTAGATATTAATTAATTTAATAAATAATTACCCGTAGGCTAAGATCGTAACATTATAGCTAATAAACAAGGGGGAAAAAAAAGAAAAAAATAAAGTATATAGATTAGGAAATGATTGAAGATGACGCGTAAGTAAAAAATAGATAGCTTAGCCGAATGTGTCAAAAATGATATCATGGTGACACACGTGTGACGTAAGGCCAGAAAATGGATTTATGTACAACATTCGGCAAATGAGATGCGTAGACCCGAGAAAAAAAAAAGCAAAGCATACCCTTCAACAAATTTGTCAAGAAGAGATATAGCACAATCTGAAAAAACTTCATCTTGCTCGGTATCCGAAGGAAAAACGTAGTCAAAAGTGAATGAGCGGTCGGTGCCGATGAGAATCTGCTGTGGGGCATCAGGGATAAGCGTTAGGCACTCGGTACAACCTTGGATTGTTTCTTTTTCGCTCAAAGGACGAATTCTTAGGGCAACTCTAATATAATAAAATTTTAAAAAAATTTAACGATATATTAAAAGAGAATCTAATAAACATGTTTTTTTTAAAAAAAAACCTACTTTACAGAAGTGGAAGTCATAATGATTGGTTTTTATTATTATTAATTTTTTTGTGTTAAATGTGAAATGATAAATATGTCTATTCAAACGGAAGACTGAGCGAGGATTATTAAAAAGAAAATAATTTGAAAGAAATGTATTTTATGATTTTTGTTTTTT